ACAAGTTATTCCAGCTACAGCTGATTCTACATGTAGTGCAATAGGACTGCAAAAACCTTTTCAGATGATGGTGTGTCACCGTAACAGAGGGCAGACAACATGCATGAGCACAGTTGGACAGCAATTATACGGTTGGTGGGGGAGAGAAGGATTGTCACAATTTCACAGACATTAAGCAATTGCTAAATATGGATGAGCCGCATGTTTTTCTCCTAGAACATGAAAAATGTTATCAGCTGGCTGTAAATTTTTAAAAATATTTTTTTCAAACCAAACACTATAAATAAAGAAATATTCGGGCTCGGTTGGGTTGTGCAAGCCAATGCTGTAATTTGTAAAGAACAAAAACCGTTCTGCATCGTGGCTGATTTAGGAACTACCCCACACTATGGAGCGCACCGTACGTACCAGTAGAAACGATTGGGCGCCACTCGCTCGTGCACCAGCTGCCACCTCCGTCCAAACTCCACCGAGCTGTAGAGCTGCAGAAAGACAACCAGACATGAGTTTTTAGTCACATGCATCTTAACCCTTGATGAAATTGACCGTTTTATATAACACTGGCCTTTTTCAGATCACGAGCTGCGTTTACTCTTTACCGTGGGTTTGTTTTCACACCTTGATTTATTCGTCAAGTTAACAGCAGCGTAACGAGGAGTGGGAGACGAGCTTTCTCACAATATCTCGCACATATTTGGCTCGAGTCGAAGGTACTAAATTAGATTAAAATTTACATAATATTCAAACACTGCGAATGAATAACATGGCTTAAAAACATCTAGCAGTGTAATCACTGTCTGTCTTCCCACTCGGCTGTGCGTTACTAGAGAACTCTTACGGAGAATTTTTCGCCATGAAGCCATTAACACAATGAAAAACACGATAAGAATGAAATGTGTAGGGTGCAGCTTTTCATACGCTACAGAAATGTGCCTCGCTGTAACAAGCCTGCAAATTGCAGCGACATATGAGATATGAGGAGCCAAAGCGTAGTGGGTGGTCTCCATACAGACGTTATTCACTGGTGGGTAAATCGCTGGAAGCTGAGATATTATCGTTCGCACAGTAAGCAGAGAATATGTGTGAAAATCTGTGTGTAATGCATCCAGCTGTCCACAAAGGAGCCCCCGAGTGTCTCCGCTCATTCAAGACTCACATCCACTGAGAACTGAGAGACTTCAGCTTGTTCAAGTTGTGTTCGTCAAGCAATTATGGAATTACTGAAAGATTAATTGACTAATTATCTCTCACGTATTACACTGAATTTGTGATCTCGGCACACTGATATTCTAGATTTTGTTCATAAAGTTAATGATCTGTTCTTCAGGAATAACAGCAGTAACAATAACAGTGGTTTCAGTGTGTGTTTGGATTTTTCTTTATAAATCCCCACTCGGCATGTGGGCGCTCTTTACCAGCAGAATACGTTCAAAACCTTTCAAGGTGTCACGTTTAGAGTAGTGATGGGATTTCTTTTAGAGAACCGGCTCTTCAGGTTGTTTTGTTGCTTTAATTAATTTATTATTAACAATAAAATAAAATTATGCACAAGAGGAATTACTAATGTAAAAAACGTGGATTTATTTATATATGTTTATATATAAATATATACGGTGGCTCCTAGAACCAAAACACGTACGAACTCCAAAACACATTTCTAGCAT